TCTTTCCCATGCATCCCTCAATGTCGCATTCTCCTCTTGCTCAAAGTGAGTGATGTTCTTCCTCCACTCGACCGACTTGGAAGGAGGACAATATCGGGTCATGAACTTGTTGAGTAGGTCGTCCCAAGAGGTGATGGATGAGTCGGGCGGTTGTTGAGCCATCAGAGTGTCTTTCCCGCCAAAGAATAGGGGAAGAGCTTCAATATCAATGCCTACTCGGGGACGCCATTTATCTTTAAGCTTCAATATCAAGAAACCTTTGGACATGCTCTCGTGGTGATACATGGGCAAGCCCGTGGAAGTAGGCATTTTGTTGAATCATCGTCACAAGAGAGGGCTTGATCTCAAAGTTGTTGGCGGCCACGGGTGGATGTAGGATGGGAGATTGGATATCTGCCGCCCGTGGAGCCATGTAATAGCCCATAGTCCTTGGCCCTTCCTCGGCTCCCACTTCTCCATTTGGGGTTGGAAGCGGATTAGCCCCTCAGTATTGATTTCCCGCCATCTCAACTTCAAATCCTCCTTCAATTACTTCATTGTCGGGACCAACTTGTTGTCCCCTTTCTTCACTTCTCCTTCTTGCCTCCGCTTGCTCCCTCTCTCGAGCTAGAAGTCGGAGAGTTCGATTGATGTCCTCGTCCAGTGGTATTAAAGGCGCCGGATTGCTCTGGGTCATGCACTTCCCTACACACACTTGAAAAACACAATATGTCTAGCACAACCAAACACTTCACAACTTAACAAAACATAAATTAAGAACTAGAATAACACCAAACAAACTTTTAACGATGACGGACCTAAGTCCCCGACAATGGTGCCAAAAACTTGACTCACTCGTAACAACCATGAAGCCAAGTAGCCAACCCATCTGCTGTATTTCATTCTCAATAGGATCCGCATATTCTTGCATACAAAACACGTATGACTAGCCTAGTAGCCGGATTCTGAAAGAATACGTGTACGTATTGGTACAAAGAAAAAACGTTAATAAAATAAAAATTAGGGACGGGAAACACCAAACGCATTATCCATCACACATTCCTTCTGATCTTGTTCCTCAATTCTTTTTTCTTTTTTGTTGAGGAGAGAATCAGAGAACCTTACCACACCCTCCATTCACACATTTATTAGCCAGAGCCAAACGGTCGAGCAAAAGCAGGAAACACAGCGTGAAGAGAGAAAATTTTGGAATAAACAAACAAACAGAGCAGCAAAGAGAAGAGAGGGGAGAAAGGAAAATTTCCTTCACAACTTTCTCTTCCAAACAAACTGTACTTTCCACACACTCTCTTTCTCTTTGTGCCACACTGTCCACCATCTATCTCCTCCTCAGCCACACACACAAAAAGAAGCTAAACTCGCCGGCCAGATCGACGATTACTCATAGCACATTCGCTTTCTTCCTTCGACATGGCCGCCGGCGCTCTCCTTTGGGTTGTTGGTCCCAAAGAGAATGCCGTCACTTCCTCCGCTCTGGTCGGTCTCATACCCAGGACCGGAACCGGCGGCGGCGTGGCTTCACAGCTGGGAATCAGGCCCAGAGGCGCCAGCGGTGGCGGTACGAGCCAGAGGCTGAGAATTGCATCGTCGTTGATGAATTCGAACAGCAGGGCGTCTGCTGTGTACTCAAGTGCAGCCGCCGTTGCCGCGAGCCCGGCAAGATCTTCGGAAGAGAAGGTGTACGAGGTGGTGCTAAAGCAGGCGGCGCTGGTGAAGGAGCTGCAGAGACGGGCGGTGGAGGAAGAGGCAGTGGCGGGAACGGAATCGAATTGGGATCTTCTCAACGAAGCTTACGATCGGTGCGGCGAGGTCTGCGCTGAGTACGCCAAAACGTTTTACTTGGGTAATTCCCCCCTTCCGTTTCTCCGCCCCTTCATTTCTCTGTTCTTGAGTTTTCATTTTTTTTTAACTTGGCGGGGGAATAGAGTCTGCGAGGTCTTATTTGTTTAGTATTATTAGCTATTTGATACAGTTGTGATTGGTTTATCTTTCTCCCGGTTTCCAGTTCTGTTTACGAAGATGATAGAATCTGTGTTGAACCTTGCAAACAGCTCTTCTACTTTTCCTTTTTTCTGTTTTTCAACTTGGGTCTTGAAAGCGTCAAAACATACTTCCCTTCTGTTTTTTATTGAATAATTGGGTGACTCCTCGTTCGGTCGTTTGCATAACAACAAGAGTCTCCCCTCAGAGATTCCCTCTGTTTGCTAGAGAGAATCAATCTGCTTGAGATTAGGGAAGAGGAGCAGTACGTTCTGCTCAGCTCCCTTTCCATTGCCAGGCCCACTGCAATAATACTAATTTATGATGATTGTTCAACCACCTCTTTCCAAGTTCCAGGCTCCTCTTTCCCTTGAGTAAAAGTTTTACAACCAGAAACGAGATGTTTGTAGTACTGAAGTTTGCTCTCAAATTCGGTATATCATTGCAGGAACGTTGTTGATGACACCGGAGCGGCGAAGAGCTGTTTGGGCAATTTATGGTATGTGAGCTCTGTCTCGTTTCCTTGTCATCATGAGTTGGGAGGTCAATACTCATTTTCATATGTCATTCTCATTCGTCGCTGTTATTGTTTGTCCTTCTCCATTTTAACTGTTACATCGAAACCCATTTTGCTTCCTGCTTCTGCTTGTCTCAATCTGCAAAACTCTTTGTGTCTAGGCTTTACTTGGATTGGTTATGGCGGCCGAATAACTAGTTATTCCAGCACAAGAAATTGAACGTGCTATCTGTTTGTTGGGTTTTTGTGAAGTTTGGTGCAGAAGGACTGATGAGCTGGTGGACGGGCCCAATGCAACTCACATCACACCGAAGGCTCTCGATAGATGGGAGACAAGACTGAATGATCTCTTTCAAGGCCGCCCATATGACATGTTTGATGCTGCTCTATCAGATACAGTCTCGAAATACCCTGTCGATATTCAGGTAGACAGATTTCTATTTACTTGGATCACGCACTCCTTTGCTTCTGCTTGTTAGGATCTTTCATGTTATCTATAACTGAATGACCCTGGCCCTCTTTTCCTGCTTCAGCCGTTCAAGGACATGATTGAAGGAATGCGGATGGACTTGAAGAAATCGCGATACCAGAATTTCGACGAGCTCTACCTCTACTGCTACTATGTTGCTGGGACAGTCGGCCTAATGAGCGTTCCGGTTATGGGGATCTCCCCTGAATCAAAAGCTTCCACCGAGAGCGTTTACAATGCTGCATTGGCCTTAGGGATCGCCAACCAGCTAACTAACATACTAAGAGATGTTGGAGAAGAGTAAGCTTTCCTTTGTTTTCGTTAATGCTTCCATTACTTGCTGAAAACAGAGTTCTTCTATGCGTCCACATATGATTTCATAAGCTGGTGGCCATCTGTTTGATCCAATATTCCCTGTTATTCTTTTGGCAGTGCGAGGAGAGGAAGGATCTATCTGCCTCAGGACGAGCTGAGGCAAGCCGGGCTCTCCGACGAGGACATATTCAAGGGGAAGGTGACGGACAAATGGAGGAGTTTCATGAAAGGGCAGATCAAGCGGGCAAGGATGTTCTTCGATGAGGCGGAAAAGGGGGTTGGGGAGCTAAACGGGGCGAGCAGATGGCCGGTGTGGGCATCTCTACTGCTCTATAAGCAGATATTAGACGCCATTGAAGCGAACGATTATGACAACTTCACCAAGCGGGCCTATGTAGGGAAAGCAAAGAAGTTCGCTTCATTGCCTGCAGCTTATGGTCGGGCACTTATGGGTCCACCTTCTAAAAGAGCAGCTGACTTCGCTGGCAGGACTTCCTGAGTTGTAGGAGTTTGAAGCGGGCCAATCATTGAATATAGGCTGTTTGCTTTTTCTTCTAATCTTTTTCATTTTTGGGAAGTTTGCTACGATTAAAAAACTCAAGAGATCTGTAGATTCTGCCCCCACGTCCGTCTGCTTAATTTGTAATCCAAATTGATGGCCGTCTGCCCTGCTAAGATTAGATGCTTTCTGTAGCATATTTCTATTCTACCTCCTCTGAATCGGACATGCCTTCCCTTTAGAGACCAGACCGGATCCTATCACTAAACTTAAGAACCTTGATACACAATTCAATCATTACTAATTTACTCCTGAATGTTTACTCCTGAAACCCTTGTGCCGACTTTCCAGCCACAGCCCCCAGGACTGTTAACAGTAGAAAATACAACCTTTGTAATTGGAGGGATGCACTCTTCAAATTGCCTCCCTAGTATTGGAGTTAATGGGGCGGTGGTGGAACAGTAAAAGGAAATTATTTTATCTTCTATGTTTTTTAATTGAGTCGCTTAGCTTGAGGTTCACAGATACTGTTTGATTGCCACTGACAATTAGGGCTGCAAATGAGACGAGCGGTTCAATGTATTTGAAACTCAACTCGTTTATTAACAAGCCGAATTTGAGTTTAACTTTGTTCAGCTCGTAAAAATCGCAAGTTAACTTGATTCGGTGGCTTGTTGAGTTCAACTCGTGAGTTGTCTCGTTTAGAACTCATGAGATGTCTTAAGATTGTGGGTAGAGAGCCAACTCGATTACCAACTTATGAGCGAATCGATCTAATATCTTATGAGTTGGATTTTACTTCATAGGATTATTACCTTATATATCTCACTGTATATGAAGTTTAACACGTTGAGTATGTGAGAAAATATATCTTAATTTTAATTTTAAAAAGGAATTATGCATCATAAATTGTTTTGGTACTATGAAATAACATAATTTGGACTAGTTAAAATTTATTAACTAAATAATATGATATTAACAAAGTATAACATGAAATTAGTTAATGTTGAAATACTTAGACAAGATTTCAATTAACAAGGCTAACTCGAATTCGACTTGACTCAAGTCGTTAATAAACGACTCGAGCTCTAACTCAGCTTGTTTATTAACGAGGCGAGCTCAAATTGGGGTAAAGCTCGACTCGACTTATTTGCAGTCCTACTTAGGATGAACCGAATGGTTGGTAATCAACAATGATATGAATTTAAAGTTTTTTTTTTACAAAAGATAATCATATATTGATACCAAAACATAGATAGTTACACCCTCGAACCAAGCCAGGTCCGAAAATCAAAGAAACGACTCATAGTCGGGTACAAAGAGAAGGCTTTTCTAGCCACCAAATGGGCTACCCTATTACTACTCCGACCTATAAACCACACACTAAACCCAGGGTTGTTACCAAAATAATGTAAGATTTCTGACAAAACGGAACCCATCCGATTGTCCCTAACATCCTTGCAATTGATATTATCAATGATGATCTTAGCATCCCCTTCGAAGCGCATCCCCGTAAACCCCTGACCCAAACACCAAGCAATAGCCTCCCAGAGCACAAGCAACTCCACGACCACTGGGTCATCAATCCCCCGAAACTAAATCTCGTGAGCCATAAGAACATCCCCCGAGGGAGACAGAAGAACCATGCCACCTGCTGAATGCGATCCCTTCCTGGTATCCCCGTCCCACTGGCAAGTAAACCCTGCAGCCTGACCCGACCCACCTGACCGTGGAACCATCGGGGGAGGAGGCATGGGGGGCACATCCACCGGCAGCCCCACCCATTCCTCATACTGCTGGGAAAACTGCCTCATCAACGCAGGGAACCCAAACTGCTTTCCTTCAAACACCACCAAATTTCTCGACTGCCAGATGCGCCAAAGGATAGAGACTATTGCCATGAGGAGCGTCGGCTGCTGAATTAAGGCTATTAAACTTTTAAGAAACAGAGGAAAAGTATGGCGAGGCAACCCCTCCCCTAAGTACTCTAGCCCCGAGTGACCCCAGAGCGCACGCGCCACCGGACAATCCAGAAACAGATGCTCTATGGTTTCCGGGCCACCCCAACAGACCGGACAACGAGGGAGGGTAGGGACCTTTGGAGAAATTAGGGCCTCCGTGGTGGGGAGAGTTCGATTCAGAATTTGCCAAACAAAGACTTTCAACTTAGGGTGAATATTCGCCTCCCACAACCGGATCCAACTGGCTCTATCCATCCAACTAGCCGGCGCCTTCCACCTCCCCCTCCTCAGGGAGACAGCCAGATGATATGAATTTAAAGTAAGTAATTAAGAAACACGATATTTATTGGATAAATGTAAAAAAATGATAAATAGAGCTACCCATTGTGTAATTTAGTCAAATAAAACAAAAGAAAAAATATTCACTAAAATTACGATCGATCCAAATTATAATTACTAATAGGGATGATAAAGTATTTTTCACCTTAGCAAGAAATACTAACAAAACACAAATTGCACTTTTCTTGCTAGTCATTTGAAATTATCCTTAATATAACACAGAAAATGACTTTCCGAAACAACTTAACATGTTGAATCCATCTACATATAAGTGGTCTGGAGTAGTAGGGTGCATAACAATTGCGCATAATCAATCTGTCTCATTTAATTTTTAGTGGGTCAAGACCTAAAAGGTAGGATTAAACTTTTTTTCTCAACTTATTTAATCGGGTCCTATCTTCTTTGTTTTAACCTGTATTTTAAAAGTTTTTGCACATATGAAACATGTTCATTGTGATTTAAAAAAACATATTCGTATTTTAATATATTTCGTGAAGTTTTCTTATACCACTCATAACTACTCTTAACCACCCAGGTACCACTTAATAACACTCTGCACCACCTTTGTTTATAAGTTAAATTTAGAAAATTTTGCACAAGTGGAACAGGTTCATCATAATCTATTGTGATCTACAAATTTGTAGGAAAAAATTCAGGATCAAATATACCACCTTGGTATAGAGTGGTAACTGGTGGTAGATAGTAGTAAAATGTGAGTGATGATTAGTATATTCCTATTATTATGTATACAATCATTCTAAACTAATCATAATCTATTGTGATCTACAAATTTGTAGGAAAAAATTCAGGATCAAATATACCACCTTGGTATAGAGTGGTAACTGGTGGTAGATAGTAGTAAAATGTGAGAAATGATGATTAGTATATTCCTATTATTATGTATACAATCATTCTAAACTATGATATATTCATACTATCATGATACACTTTCATATCACCATGATATAATACTACCAAGTTTCGCCATCATAGTATAATGTATAAACTGGTACCTATAAGCAATGCAGTCAAAAGCGCGATTCTACTTAGAAGCGGTAGGGTGACCTGAGAAGCGTAAAACCGTAAGCTTTTAAGTTTTAAAACGTAGATTTTGACTACATTTGCAAGGGAAAATCACGATTTTATGTAGGAGCGTTTTGGCGATCAAAAAAAAAATAAAAGCGTAATCTTTTAAGTTTTAAAGCACGATTTTGACTGCATTGCCTATAAGAATGGTTGAATTCCGAATTAAAATAAAATGTATAGAGTAAGTTAAATTTAATGGAAGAAAAAATCGTAATAATAAATCAGTAACCTAAGCTGAAAACTCATTGGAAACTAAAAGAAGCGTTACCTATCGGATTCACTCCGACAGTTGAATCATCGTCGTTACATTTATTAATGTCTTGTCTTTTATTTTTGGACGGAATTAATTGTGGGTTTTGAATGCATGTGCTGAATAGTTCGAGAAGGAGGATTCAGCCAACGAGGCAGCTGTCAGGTCCATGCTGCTGGTACGCGCTTTTCTTCTCCGCTCAAATTTTAAGCCGACAACAGACAACCACGTATCCAGTTTTCAGAAAAAGGCCGAAAAGGTACAAATTAGCGATCCCACCACCTATCCTTTGGGTGGGAGAATTCCACCAATAGCTCCAGCTGAGGTGGATTTTGGATTTGATCCTTTTCTTTTCAAGTTGCCTACTAGTCGTCGTTTTCCCACCCACCCCATAATGTCCCCATTGGCCACTGCCAATTTGCCACTCCCACTCCCACCCGCATCTTCTTCTTCTTCTGTGCATTGGACTATTGGTATTTGGTAGTGAGTATCCATTCCTGATTTCTTTACTACACTCATTACCACGACTAGGGATAAAATTAACTAATGTACGAGCGAGCGGCATATATGAGTGGATTATATATAAACTGTATGTGAGGCGATTATTAAGATGAATAATCATTTTTAATATCTCTCTGTTTTTTTTTATCCTTCCTTCGCCTGTACTAATCTTCTCTTATATTAAAAAAAAAAATAATTAGATGAAATGGAGACAAGCCAAGAGAGTTGGAGATAACTGTTAGTGAATAAAGAAAGGGAAGAAACAGATATGGACTAAAGAAGTGGAAAGAAAACAAACTAGTGATTTGGATACCACAAATTCGTTCATCACGCACTACTTCATAACTAATAGGCAAAATATTTTTCCATAACCACAATTTTTACGTTTGTGACAAATATAGTCACAACTACTAGGTGGTAGAGAAGAAGTGAAGAAGTCGACTTTTTCGGTGATGATTCAGCGAAAAGATTCCCATGGAAGCAAACCACATATAGGATATTCACTATCCACGGGCGGGATACGCTCACTTCCTTTAAGGGGATTGTGAGATTCACAACCAAAGACATTTTGGGCATGAAAAAAAAAAAAAAAACGAATTAATTAATTTTTTTTGTATTAATTACATATTGGGAACTAAAAACATATATTAAATACATGATTTTTTAAATTCTACAATAAATACATTTTCTCTCTTCCTATCTCTCTCTTCTTTTTCTAGTAGCCACTCCACTCCGACCGGCTGAATTTCTAACAGATAGACTTCCTCCAGCAAAATCCTTTAAATCAGAATCGCTACGGACACATGAAAAAAATTATCACTCTGTTAGTGTGCTAGTAGTATGCTACAACTACCACTGGTACCACTACCAGTACAACGCTACCACTACCATCTGGTAGATAAAATAGCTAGGAAACCACTACCATCTGGTAGCTAGTAGTGGTAGGAAACCACTATCATTTGGTACCACTACCATCTGGTACCTGGTAGTGATAGCGTACCAATATCATTTGGTACCACCACCATCTGGTACATGGTAGCTACCACTACTCATTGGTAGTGCTACCACTAGCACTGTCAGTGCCATGATTAGTCACCAAAAGGAGAGATCATACTCTAAGTGGGAGAGATCATGAATCAAGTAGCAAGGTCTATTGAAGATGAGGATTCAAATCAACCCATCACTGATGATGATTTAAAGGAGAATGAAGAGACGTAGTCGGAGGTACAAATCATGATAAGATCAGGATCTATATGAGGATTCCTTACATGCAACCTATCATCATTACGGTGAAGACCTAGTATGAGGAGATACATTGAAAGAAGATCCACCAACTTCGGATTTGAAGCTAGCCCAAATGGCACTCATGATAGCCATACAAGGGCCAATACGTTGCTAGAGAATATCGAGGAGTTGGAATACAAAGCATCAGAGGGATTTCAGTAGTTCATATAATAAAGTGGATTCGATCCACATCCCATGGATCCAGCACCGATCAACACAACCAAATGACGATGAAAGGATGTCTGAATTTGGATGGCCATCCGACGAGACCATGATCTTTGAAAAATGATGGGATTATCACTTTCCCTTTGTTTTACTACCTTGAATTTAGGATTTGAAGCATTTGCTCTTGATTATGCTTGATACATGACATATCTATGTGAAATTAGTCCATTAAGAACAATGTCCATTTTAAAGTGTGGGGTGGAATTGTGTGCTACGTGCTACTTGATTATGCTTGATACATGACATATCTTTAGTCATTCAATTTCGAAATCTTTAGTTATGATCTATGTGAAATTTTTCAAAAATCCTAATGATGTTTTCCATCTAATGACTTTTAGTCATCCCATACAAGCATGATTATTGCTTACCTTACTTTGAATCAATGAGTCTATATAATATCACTTGACCTAGGGAGGATAGTGTAGCGACTATGAAGGATGCGATAGTTTGATAACACCTAAATTAGTGTTATTTAACCCTCATATCGAGGTTTGTTTCGTGCCAAGTCATGTGCATAATTGCTTGAACATCGTTGATTGCATCCTTATTTAGTTCCTATGTGAATTCAATGTGATTTTAGGGTGTATTAGACGATATGTGAGAATTAAGTCCAAAACAAGGTCATAGTGTAGCAAGGGGGCATGAAGCTGAAGATCGTGTCCTGGAAGCTGAAGATCACAGCGGGGAGTATAGACTGCAAACTCAAGCTGAAAATCGAAGCCCGAAAGTCCCAGATCGCAGCCACGAATTAGAGTGCTTAGAGCGCAAACTTCGCAAGGAAGGAGCCAAGGAGAAGAATAGACTTTCACTAGTCAAATCACAGCAACAACATCATTTCACTGCGGGAAAGTTCGCGGCCGCGAATCGTGGATCGAGATTGCAAAGTCAGCCATTGATCTCCTCATTTTCGAAGGTGAGGACGACAGTGTTCTAAGATCGCGACCTCACTTCCGAAGATCACGACCGTGATCTCTGTGCTTCTGGCCGCGAACTTCTCTGTCCCTAGATTTTTATCAATAGAACACCCCTTTCCCTCTTTTAGATGCGCTGATTTTGAGAGAAATTTATGGTTGTAGAGAGAGAAAAGAGAGAGAAGCCAAAGGAAGGAGAAGAAGAAGGAGCTAGAAGAGAGGGAGTATCTTCCCCAACCCAAGTCTTCTTCAATTTCTTAGATATTTCTTTTTCCCTCCTTTATGGAGTAGTCCTCTAAGGTACTAGGGGTTCTAAACCCCAAACCCTAGTTTTAGGGTTTATTATGTATATATATGTATGTATGTATGTATGTATGTATGTATGTATGTATGTATGTATGTATGCATGCATGCATATTTAAGGTTTGAATGAATAATGTGTTTATCTAGTTGAATCTATTGCTATTCAATCCTTGATTGTGTTTGGTTAAGTCACCCTAATATTCTCTATTAGCCTAATTTATGCTTCTACATTGGGTATGGAGTTCTAGGGTTAGAAAGGTATGCGTCATCAAGCAAATAGAGATAGATGTATGAATAGGGACCTATGGTGGTCAAGGAGGTCGAACCCGTGTCGTAGGTTAGCCTTCCTAGATAGAACCCGGGATGAAACCTCGGTGTGGACGGTGGATAGTGTCCATTGAATGAGCCATGAGCTTATTACCCAGATACGATAGCCTAGATCGAGGTGACTATATATGGTTTTAGCCTTTTAGGGGAGGTGTACTCGGTGGTGTGTGGATAACCACGAAGGCCCATGGAAAAGAGCTCACTCACCATATTCGATAACCTTAAGTATTTATGCATGATAGTAACTGATAGACCATTATTTGCACATGTTTTGACCACCATTCTTGAACCGTTTGAGAGTCAATTCTCGTGTTTTAGGTCGATTTAACGCTAGGTTGTTCGTTTATCATATTTCAGGATTTGGCGTGGATACAGAGGCATGGAAACGAGTTTCGAGTCAAAAAGTGGAGAGTTGGAGCGAAAGGAGCTGGAAGGAGAAAATACCAAGTCAGGCCTCGAAATACCCGACCGGGTAAACGAGAAGGAATGACCGGGGAAAGCTATTTTGGAGGCTAGGAGATTATAAGGGCCCCCGGCCAGAAGGCATAAATACCCGATCGGGTATTCTGAACTTCGATCGGGTATTCCCCTTTCTCCACTGCGCTGTGTTTCAAAATACCCGGTCGGTCACCTAAAATTCCCGACCGGGTATTATGGCCGGGTATCGCGATCTGGAGCTTTTGAAGAGAAGAAAGCCTCTTTTGTGGGGGATCCAAATTTTTAGGAAAAGAAAGCAGAAAACCTAGAGAGAGAGAGAGCGACGAACAGAACTTCAAAGTGCCCTAAATCGATCTTCAACACCATTGGAGCTCGGTGGAAGCTTGGAGAAGTGCCGATTGATTACCAGAATAAGATTTTCATCCTTCACAAAATGATTTCCGCATCCGAAGCAGATTTCTCTTCTCTCTATATGGAGTAAACTCTCTCACTCACCTGGGTATGAAGAACCCTAGATTTCTAGTTAGGTCTGGTTGTATGAACCCAAGTACAAGTTCTTTGATACTGATTATATTCAATTGAGGCATGATTTTCTGAATTGCATGAATCCTGATCAAATTCCCGTAGTTTCTGCTTTTGACCTAGAAAGAGAATATCTGCCTAGGTTGATAGAGCATCCTTATTTGAAGGTAGTGAATTGACGACTTTAGTCGAGGACTCGGTTCACTATTCTGTACTGGATTTACTCCAGTAGAGGAGGTTTGGCACGTTAGAGCCTCAGTCTGTTTACTCCAGTGGAGGTTAGTCGGCCGCTGGGGATTCATATTGAGAGGGTCTGGAGACCTTTAGTCGAGACTTCAGACTATATAAGAACCTTCCGCAGTATAATTATCATTGAAACTGGACTGGGTGAATTACAACTTGGCTTAACTGCTGTCTAGGGGAACCATATCTGGGTGACCTCTCTCAAACTTGGAACACAACATTTACTGCTTTTGTCTACTAGTTTAGTTGGAAATTTACTACAGTTGAACCGCTAAATAATAAGAATATCACGGAGTAGTCATCACACCTAGGGCCCGGGTTGACATTTGAACCTATGCCCGCTATAGTACGCATTAGTAGGTGGTTACACTTGGCCACTTTCTAGTGTGACTGTACAAGCGAGTCAAGTTTTTGGCGCCGTTGGCGCCGTTGGCGGGGACGGCTAGGTTGTTCTAGAAACGTGATTTCTGTTACCTTAGCATTTCTTTTTTGCGTTGATTGTTTTGTTTTGTCCCACTTGTGCCTTGACGGGTTTGCTTGCTTGGCTGTGTGCAGGTAGTGTATGATCAGTAGCCAGTCGGGAGACTTACTACCGTTAGATTCGGAGCTAGAATGCCCTTGTCGTCAGCTTAGTAGGCAATAGCAAGCAAGAATGTCTACGGAGGAAGTGCACATCGACGACCATCTGAGCAACGAATCTGAGCAGGAGGACGAAATGGGCGACGAGCACAACATGGTGAACCTGAACCTAAACCTGGGATATAACCAAACCCTGGGGATGCCCATGTAGGTTCCCCCGGTGAATCAGGTTCTGGCCAATAACCCAGTCCCCCATCCAGATGGGGCTTAGCATCAACCACCCCCGCCGGGTCCTACTATGGAGTATTACTACACTCCACGGATCGCCGACATCTGCCATGTCATCCTGTATCCGCCCATTCCAGCAAATAACTTCGAGATCAAGCCATGCTAGATTCAACTGATCACATCCTCCATCAGTTTCATGGCCTCAAGGATGAAGAGACGAGGGTGCACCTTTCCCGGTTCTTGCAGCTTACCAATGAGTTCAAGCTGAATGGTGTACCAGATGATGCGATCCGTCTTCACCTCTTCCCCCCACTCTCTGGCGGGGCATGCAAAGAGGTGGTTAGATACTCAGCCACCATTGTCCATCACGTCCTGGGACGATCTGGCAGACAAGTTCGTGCAGAGTTACTATCCTGCCTCAAAGACCTCAGAGATTCAGCGGGAGATCACTCATTTCCGCCAGGAGCCAAATGAGTCACTACGTGATGCCTGGGAACGGTTCTCAGGATTTTTCTAGCAGTGTCCCCATCATGGCTTTAGTGATGCATTCACTGTGGGGAACTTCTACAGTTCTCTATCTCTAGAGAGCTAGAGGGTGGTCGAGTCTCTATGCCCAGGAGGGGACATTCTCACCAAGACTCCACCCGAGCTGAATCAGATGATTAGTAGTTTGGCTGCTAGAGATCATTCTTGGGGGCAGAGCACTAGAGGTAGGAACTCCCGGGATCGAGGTGTGCATTCCATGGAATCTAGATCCGGGCTAGAGCGGGAGGTGGCCGAGCTGGTCCAGACATTAAAGCAGCCCAACAGTCTCATTCTGAGTAGAGGATTGGCTGGCCATTCGGTTGCATATTGTAGTGGTGTGAGAGTTCGTACCATTTGGTGGAAGACTGCCAGGCCATACGGGAGTCTTTTACACCCCAGGAGTAGTTGGACTTCATCGCCAATGCTCGACGCCTTGATCCTTACAATGGAACATATAATGAGGGGTGGCGCCAGCATCCCAACTTCTCCTGGAATGGCAACAACACCAAGCCTCCCGGTTTCTCAGATAGAGCGGGTGGTTTTCAGCAAAGGCAGCCCTTTCATGCCTGACAGGGTCCATTTCCACACCAGCAGCCTTATCAGCCCAGACTGGGGCAACCTTTTCAGCAACAACAACGACATTTTTCCCAGCCGATAGCAACTCCAGCATAGGATGATCAGATGTCAGAGCTGAAAAACATGGTGTAGACCTTCATGAGTGCCAGCACAGCGAATTTTGTCAGGCTGGACCAGTGCATCACCTCACTGGAGGCATGCCTGAGGAACCAGGGTGCCATACTTCTAGACCTCCAGAACCAGATTGGAGGCATAGCTTGCCAGAACAACACTAGAGCACAGGGAACTCTGCCTGCCACCACCATCCCAAATCCTCGCGAGCCTCACTAGCAGTTAGATGCCATCTCTACTCGAAGTGGTGAGACGACATCTGCTATCCCTGCTCCAGCCAGGCAGGAGGAACCAACACCTGCTTCAGCACTTCCAACTGACAAAGAAGAGGTGGGAATCGAGAAAGAAGCACCCACTCCCAAGCCACAGGTAGTGGTTGAGGAGCATGTTCAGCTTCCCTTCCCCACGCGAATGCACAAGCACAAGCTGGAAATTGAGTTTTCCAAATTCATGGCAATGTTGAAGCAGGTCAACATCAGCCTGCTGACACGCTAAAACACAACACCTAACTATGGCCAAGTGTAACCAATGAAAGGGACTGCAGTATAGTGGCACAAGTAATAAATATCGAATCCACGGTCTCTAGAGTTACTATTACTCAACTTCAGTTCATTATCTAGCAAACTAGATTAAGGATTGATTTACTAAACTACTCTACTAACTACTCTACTAATTACAAGTTGGGAACTCACTTAGGTATGATTCCCCCTAGCTCCTCAATTAGGTCCAAGTTGCAATTACATTTGGTTGATCTACTGTTGATTAAACTGCGGAAGATCCTAAATTAGCTTGGAATCTCTTAAGCTGACCAAGCCCTCTTAGACAGAATACCCGACAGGAGACTAGCCTTCACCGGGATAGACTGCTAAGGCAATTCACACAGATCTCCACTACTAGAATGAATTCCAGTACAAAACATTGAATTGATTGACTCTCGCACAACCAATTCACCACTAACAATCAAGGAAGCTCTCTTAACCTAATCAGATTCTATCTATGTAGGTTAAAGAAGAAATCAAGAGAAGATGATCAGGCTTCAATTGACTCAATAAATCATGCCTTAATCGATTATAATCAAACAATATAGCATCCAAAACTTCATACTAGAAAGATCCTAACACATGGAACCAGGGTTCCTCAAAACCTAAGTGAAGGGAAGTTACTCCCATAGAGAAGAGAGAGACTGCAGAAATCTGATCTTGATCTTCAATCTCCATCTCCAAGCTTGATTCCCGAGCTCCAATGGCGAAGAAATCCTCCAAAATAGCTCCAAGAATGTTCCCAAGTCGCTCTCTCTCTCTAGGATTCGTCCCTTGGGTGTTTGGGAACCAAAAACCCAGCTCTCCTCTCCTTTGGCTCGAAATTTGGCTTAAAACCAGAGATCCCCGACTCACACGGCCAGGCCACACGGCCGTGTGACTCTCCCAGGCTGCCCGTGTGAGTTTGCAAAACGCAGAGTTTCGATTAAGTGACTTCAGCCATCCCACACGGCCACGACCCACACGGCCGTGTGGCTTTTAGGCATGCCCGTGTGGCTTCTCAGCTTCTCGCCAAACGTCCAAACTTTGTCCAATCGACCCTGAACTCGTTTCTAAACCTTGATTCACATACCAGGACCCGAAATATCACAAACAAGAACAAACTAGCATGAAATCGGCCTAACACACAAGAATCAACATCTCAAACGACTCAAGAATAGGGGTAAAAACATGTGTAATTAACGGTCTATCAAACTCCCTCACACTTAACAGTTTGCTTGTCCCCAAGCAAACCTGACTCAAACCAATGCAACTCTCCAGACCTCTATAGCAACATGCAACCCCGATCGTCGGCAGAGGTTTTTCTAGATCATTTAGCAACTTACGAGGTCAACTGGTCTTCTAAGATGCCTCATTTCTCTCTCAATGCGAGTACTAGACTCAAGCTAGGATCATGAGAAAAAAGGAAGTAAGATAGTCAGTTCATGGATAAAGGGACTCACACCATTCACAACCAAGGACTCATGGTAGCGGGGTGCTCTTTTCACTTAATTTCACCGTTGGAACCCCTTTTTTTCACTTTCGTTTTACTTCTTTTTTTTTCTTTTTCTTAGCGGGGGTTCCAACTGCAGTCTTTCGCACGGTCGACCCTTATTAGTAGACCAAGAGCAATTTCTGTACATCTGGCGCTCGCCAGAGTACTTCTTTTAACTCCTTTTCCTCAACTCGTGTGGAGGGTCAATGAAATTAAGGGGGGTCGGAAGCTCTATCCGTGCCCTTAAAAACACATCCTCAAGTAGGCAAACCGTTCAACGGGTGTAAATTTTACTTGTACTAGAGACAACTTAGCTTCACCTTGTAGGCCTACCCCACCAAGGATCACTAAAATCTCTTCCAAAACCCGATTTTGTGCAATGAACGGTGCCGCACACGTTGGGCTTACCCCATGTTTAAGATTTAATGATTTTGACATGGAGGACCAACTGCATTTTTCATTTTCCACATGAGCACCCTGTTTCGATACACGAGTCCACAACACAACATAAGAAGTGTCATCAATACCACATGAATCAACGGTCCTGAATCCACTAGTTCACAAAATCAACTGGCACAACAGAGAGCTAGATAGGAAAATTCTTATACTTCAACATCCTCCATAGTGCTACACTACCTCCCTAGGTTGCACATTACTATAGAGACTGTCAATTCAAAGCATACTAAGCAGGCAATTTGCAAGGAAACACGTACTTGGAGCCCTCAAATTTAAAAATTTGGACAGTGGACTAGGCTCCAAGCACACAAACAGCCAACATTCACCCGCATACATAATCGAACATCCCCCCCACACTTAAGCACGACATTGTCCTCAATGGAGGAAAGATAAGGAGGGTAGAGCGAAGTTACCAGATCAAGGGTGAATGATGCTGGACGGGGCAGGCGGTGCATTCCAGGAGGAGAGAGTAGTCGGAACACAAACACCGCACAAAATAACACAAAGGTTGAGTTATTGACTCTAAAATCAAATAACAAAACTGACTCAACCGAGGAGAAAAAGAGAAAGAAATGCAAACCGACTGGTTGGGTTGCCTCCCAACAAGCGCTTCTTTCACGTCGTAAGCCAGACGATGGCTCCTAAATTTTGGTCCACCCCAAAACCTCCTTGAAGTTGAGGTTCTCGTCGATGAGGTGGAGTCTCAAGTCACGAGCATGTGGTATGAAAGGTGATGGAAGCTCGTGCACTTGATGCAGATAACGTCTCCACCCTCGAGACCTCTTCTTCTCTTCTCTCGTCTCATTGCCTCAAACTAGATATGACAACATCGATTGACCACCATCGCGTCCACCAAGAGGGACTGATGTCGATATGGCCTTGGTATGGCAAAGAGACAAATCAAATGGGTCCTTGCTAAGTAGTTCCTCGAAGTTAGGTGGAGATATATCATGTAATTCTTGGCCGGTGCAGGCCTCTTCCAACTTAACTCCGTCCTAAGCCTGGACGCCAATTTCTTATTCATCCTCCCTTTCTTCTTCTTGTGGTATCACCCCTGGGAAATGATCAAGAACATCCTCTTCTTTGATTTCTTCTTCATCCTCCACAACTTCTTCCCTCACCCTTTCTCTCTCTTCTTCTAGAACAGATTGGAGAGCAAGTCGCCATGTAATTTCTTCAATGAGATCATCTTGCATCTCCTCGCTCGGGCCCTGCATGTTAGAGCAGAAATGATTATCATGGGAGTTCTCTGTGATAACTTCTGTATGCTCCTCAACGTCCCTGTAGCCTTTGTCATCCTACACCTCTTCTAGTGTGGTAGCAGAAAGGTGATCTTGAGCAGGATGTGAGCAAACTTTCACCACCCAATCTGTTTGCTTCGCTGAGCATTAAACAATCTCCTCCATTTCATGGAGAAATGAGGGATCGGAAGGGGCAAGGGCTTGGATTTGAAGATCCATCTTGGAGCATGATCTTTCAGTGTCTCGAGCAAACTGCTCCACGAGAAGCCTTAATTGTTTGTTCGGATCTTCCAGTGAAGTGTAGCATGGCTCTGCAGAGTGGCCCGTGAAGGCCGCCATGGGTAACTCCAGCTCTGATGGCCCTTCTGGTTGTGGGAGAAAGTCTTCTTGGTAATGAGGTTGATCTTGATATGCCCAGGGGTCTGATTGTTCTCCGTAGTAAGGGGGTTGGTACTGGAACCCGAATCCATAATCTCTTCCTCCTTGATTTCTCCAGGGAGTCTTGGGATAATACCACTCGGATGGTGGTGGATACCCCCAATGATTGGAGAAGCCATGAGGATCCATGATTCCAATATGCACCAACAGAAACAAAAACACCCAAGTGAAAAGCAAGGGGGGAAAAGAAAAGAAAAGAAAAACCGCTAAAGTAACAAACTTCTGCCTTTCCTAATAATCTAGAAAGTCCCCGGCAACGGCGCCAAAAACTTGACACGCTAAAACACAACACCTAACTATGGCCAAGTGCAACCAATGAAAGGGACTGCAGTATAGTGGCACAAGTAATAAATATCGAATCCACGGGTCTCTAGAGTTACTATTACTCAACTTCAGTTCATTATCTAGCAAACTAGATTAAAGATTGATTTACTAAACTACTCTACTAACTAATATACTAATTACAAGTTGGGAACTCACTTAGGTATGATTCCCCCTAGCTCCTCAATTAGGTCCAAGTTGCAATTACTTTTGGTTGATCTACTGTTGATTAAACTGCAGAAGATCCTAAATTAGCTTGGAATCTCTTAAGCTGACCAAGCCCTCTTAGACAGAATACTCGACATGCGACTAGCCTTCACCGGGATAGACTGCTAAGGCAATTCAAACAGATCTCCACTACTGGAATGAATTCCAGTACAAAGCAATGAATTGATTGACTCTCGCACAACCAATTCACCACTATCAATCAAGGAAGCTCTCTTAACCTAATCAGATTCTATCTATCATAGGTTAAAGAAGAAATCAAGAGAAGATGATCGGGCTTCAATTGAATCAATAAATCATGCCTCAATCGATTATAATCAAACAATATAGCATCCAAAACTTCATACAAGAAAGATCCTAACAAATGGACCTAGGGTTCCTCGAAACCTAAGTGAAGGGAAGTTACTCCCATAGAGAAGAGAGAGACTGCAGAAATCTGATCTTGATCTTCAATCTCCATCTCCAAGCTTGATTCCCGAGCTCCTATGGCAAAGAAATCCTCCAAAATAGCTCCAAGAATGTTCCCAAGTCGCTCTCTCTCTCTAGGATTCGTCCCTTGGGTGTTTGGGAACCAAAAATCCAGCTCTCCTCTCCTTTGGCTCGAATTTTGGCTTAAAACCAGAGATTCCCGACTTACACGGCCAGGCCACACGGCCGTGTGACTCTCCCAGGCTGCCCGTGTGAGTTTGCAAAATGCAGAGTTTCGATTAAGTGACTTTAGCCATCCCACACGGCCACGACCCACACGGCCGTGTGTGGCTTCTCAGCTTCTTGCCAAACGTCCAAACTTTGTCCAATCGACCCCGAACTCGTTCCTAAACCTTCATTCACGTACTAGGACCTGAAATATCACAAACAAGAACAACCTAGCGTGAAATCGTCCTAAAACACGAGAATCAACATCTCAAACGACTAAAGAATAGGGGTAAAAACATGTATAATTAACGGTCTATCACCTGCCGTTCATTGAGGCACTGTCGAAGATGCCCAAGTATGCCAAATTCATGAAGGATCTCCTCACCAACAAAAAGAAACTTGGGGATCTCTCGACAGTTATGCTAAGCGAGGAGTGTTCTGCCATCCTGCAGAACAAGCGCCCAAGAAGTGCAAAGACCGATGGAGTTTTACTATCCCTCTTGTTATTGGCAGCATGCATGTAGGAAAGTCCTTGGCGGACCTAGGCGATAGCGTTAATGTCATGCCCTATAAACTATTTAAAAATTTAGGCCTAGGTGAACCTAGAACCACTAGGATGAGCATTCAGCTAGCTGATTGCTCTATTGTTCATCCTAGGGGTATCATAGAGGACTTGCTTGTTAACATGGGTGCATTCACATATCCTATTGATTTTGTTATTCTGGATATAAATAAAGATTTGGATGTGCCTTTGATTTTGGCTAGACCATTTCTCACCACCACCACTGCGCTGATTGATATGCATAGTGGCAAGTTAACTTGCAGGCTGGGGATGAACAAGCTACATTTTCTGTGCCCGATAATGCGAAGCATTCCCATTTGCATGATGACTTGGATTACTGTGATATGCTGGCTGATTTTGAAACCGCACTCGCCATCACGCGTGCGGGTAGTGACGATGCCCTTGAGCGTTGTATTTTGCTAGGTGAGCAGGCATCGTAGGAGCTATTGCTGGAGGAGCAGCTGGCCGCGCTGGAGAGTGGCGAGTTCCTGGAGGTTGACAAGCAATTCAAACCGATCACATCCTCTCCTCGCATCATCACCTCTCTGGAGGAGCCACCATAACTGGAGCTAAAGCCCCTCCCTCCTCACTTGGAGTATGCATTTCTCAGGGAGGGGAATAAGCTTCCAGTCATCATTAGCTCGACCCTCACACCCGAGCAGAAAACCAGACTTGTGGCCCTGTTGAAGCAATATAAGTGAGCCCTGGCATGGAAGATCACTGATATCCCGGGGATCAACCATTCTTTCTGTTCCCACCGGATACTGCTAGAGGATGAGATGCAGCCATGTGAGGCAGCCCCAATGGAGATTGACACCGAACCTGGAGGTAGTGTTTCGGGTAGAGATTGTGAAGCTGATGGACGCGGGGATCATCTTCACCATTTCTGACAGCGAGTGGGTCTGCCCCACTCAGGTGGTGCCTAAGAAGGGTGGGATGACTATGGCACCCAACGAGAAGAACGAGCTCATTCCGATGCACACGGTGACCAGGTACCGTGTCTTCATCGAATACCGTCACCTCAACGACACCACCTGTAAAGACCACTTCCCGCTTCCTTTCATTGACCAGATGCTGGAGAGGCTGGCGGGGCACGAGTTCTACTGTTTCCTAGATGGGATGTCCGTGTATTTTCAGATCCCCATCGCACCGGAAGACCAGGCGAAGACCACCTTCACCTGCCCTTTCGGCACATTTGCTTACCGGAGAATTCCTTTCGGGCTTTGCAACGCCCCAGCCACATTTCAGCGATGCATGCTCGCCATCTTCGACCGGCTTGTCGGAGAAATCGTGGAGGTGTTCATGGACGACTTTTCGGTTTATGGGGACTCATTCTCACACTGTCTCCATAACTTGGAACTCATCCTAAAACGGTGTGAGGAGACGAACCTGGCGCTAAGTTGGGAGAAGTGCCACTTCATGGTTTGCGAAGGCATAGTTCTGGGGCATAAGATCGTCAAGATGGGGATAGAGGTGGACATATCCGAGATCGAGACAATCAGCAAGCTGCCTCCTCCCACATCGGTTAAGGGGATCCACAGTTTCTTCGGTCATGCAGGGTTCTATAGGCGGTTCATAAAAGTCTTCTCCAAGATCGCATTGCCCCTAACGAAGCTCCTTAAGAAGGATGCCCTCTTCCTGTTCACTGACGCGTGCTCCTATCATGGTCACTCCTGACTGGTCTTTACCGTTTGAGCTTATGTGCGATGCCAGTGACTTTGCTGTTGGAGCATTTTGGGGCAGAGGCGAGATCAACACATCCATCCTATCTACTATGCCTCGAAAACCCTTAAAAATGCCCAGGAGAACTACACCACCACGGAGAAGGAGCTGCTAGCGGTGGTGTTTGACTTTGATAAGTTTTGTCCTTATTTACGCTGCATTTCAAAATACTCGGCCGGTCACCTGAAATACCCGACCGGGTATTATGGCCGGGTATCGCGATCTGGAGCTTTTAAAGAGAAGAAAGCCTCTTTTTGAGGGGGATCCGATTTTTAGGGAAAGAAAGCAGAAAACCTAGAGAGAGAGAGAGCGACGAATAGAACTTCAAAGTGCCCTAAATCGATCTTCAACACCATTGGAGCTCGGTGGAAGCTTGGAGAAGTTCCAATTAGTTACCAGAATCAGATTTTCATCCTTCACAGAATGATTTCTGCATCTGAAACAAATTTCTCTTCTCTCTCTATGGAGTAAACTCTCTCACTCACCTGGGTATGAAGAACCCTAGATTTGTATGTTAGGTCTGATTGTATGAACCAAAATACAAGTTCTTTGATACTGATTATATTCAATTGAGGCATGATTTTTTGAATTGCATGAATCCTGATCAAATTCCTTTAGTTTCTGCTTTGACCTAGAAAGAGAATATCCTCCTCGGTTGATAGAGCACCCTTAATTGAAGGTAGTGAATTGACGACTTTACTCGAGGAGTTTGTTCACTATTCTGTACTGGATTTACTCCAGTAGAGGAGGTTTGGCACGTTAGGACCTCAGTCTGTTTACTCCGGTGGAGGTTAGTTGCCCGCTGGGGATTCAGATTGAGAGGGTCTGGAAACCTTTTTTCGAGAATTCAGACTGTCTAAGAACCTTTCGCAGTATAATTATCATTGAAACTGAAATGGGTAAATTACAACTTGGCTTAACTGCAGTCGAGAGGGAACCATATCTGGGTGACCTCTCTCAAACTTGGAACACATCATTTACTGCTTTTGTCTGCTAGTTTAGTTGGAACTTTACTACAGTTGAACCGCTAAATAATAAGAATCTCAAGGAGTAGTCATCACAACTAGGACCCGGGTTGACATTTGAACCTAAGCCTTCTATATTATGCAATAGTAGGTGTTTACACTTGGCCACTTTCTAGTGTGACCATACAAGCGAGTATGTAACCCTAAGGTAGGGGGAGGATTAGTTGCCCGAAGTACCCGCTTTTAACTTTGATCAATCTCTAGTCTAGTTATCTCCTCAAGTCCTCGACTCAAACTTCCAAAACTGATGAACTAATTATCAACTAGGTGGTAAGTAGGCTAGGGTATCAGGATCCGAGTAAAATACGACATTGATCACCACTATGTGTCAATTCCATCCTTAGTTAAACATGGGTTAGGATGGGGTAGTTGTTGACACGTGCTAACAATTGACAACAATCTGCATGGATTGAACCAATCAATAGTTAGTGTATGGGATATAATGAACATTTGATGTGTTTGAATGCTATGTTGTTTGATTCATTCATGGCTTCCTGATTATGCAAAGGAGTCTCCCATTTTTAAAAGTTTTTCAAAGGGTGAACTGTATCTTCTATAAAATGCAAAAGTATACCTGTTAAGACATGTTGGTATCTTTCAAAATTTGCCATGCTATGTTTATAAATAAAGTACGGGGCAAGCCCAACATGTGAGACATTTTTTATTGAAAAAATTGGATTTTGGAAGAGATACTAGTTGAGCTTTAGCGGGGAAGTCCTACAAGGTGATGCTAGCTCCTCTCTAGTACATGTAAAATTTGCACATGTTGAATTGATAGCCAACTTTAGGATGTGTTCTTAAGGGAACTGATAAAGCTTTCGGCATCCCGTAATTTCATTGACCCTCCACACAAATTGAGGTGGAAGAGCTTCTAGTGTTCATTGAGTTGTATGTCACTTATGATCCACCACCTAAGATCGAGAAAAAGTGATGATTCTTTAGTGTTCATTGAGTTGTATGATTGTGAGTAGTGTTTTTTGGGGACAAATAAAGTTTAAGTGTGGGGTATTTCTGGTGACACTTAATGTAGAGTGTTTATCACTGTCATATTTTATACATTTTCTCCTTCTATCTATGCATATTTATTTTGTATAGGTTTCTATTATGTTTCATATGGAATTCATAACTAGTGGATAATGTGCTTGTCATAGACTTTGAGTGTGTATTTGTACTATTTTATGCCTTTTGGTTTTTTATGCATTTTGAGGATATAATGCACTCAAGACGAATATGTATCACCAAAAGTTCCTATGGATCAGAAGGAGGATGTGATTACAAGCACGTGGACTCAAACAGAGATGAATTTGGACATCGTATGCTGACTTTATGCCCACAATAAGAGATCTGGTAGTGCAGCATGCCCAACATTGATCGAAGTCCAACCGAGGTTTCTATAAGTCAAAATGCAACCAAATTTGGAGGAGAGATTGCATGTGGACCAAGGAACCAAGACCAAAAGGAAAAGGGCATCGACCCCAACCGCCACAGACGCGCCGCTAGTTCCCTAGCTCTCCAAAAGCTTCAATAACCAGTGTACTTTGTCCACAAGTTGAAGGTATAAAGTCGTCAAATAAGGTTTTGGCCACTTAAGGTGAAAAAAGACAAGAAAATTGAAGTTTGGCTAGAGATTTATACACACCTTTTACCAGCACTCTATCCGAGGGGTACGAGTTAGAAATTCATAGAGAGGAGAAGAAACCTTGCTGGAGTTTGGCAAAGAGTTGTCACCATCGATGCCTATATAGTTGGTGATGTCTTCCTATGCTCTTATGCTTAGCTAGCATAAAATTGTTTAGGGATCAGACTATGTGATGCTTTATTTACTAATTTATATGATTCAATGATATGCGTATTGTGTTCAATGTCTCTACCATCGATGCTTGAGTGGGTTTATGCTTGTATCATCTATTGCTCATTCATTCAATGTTATTGCCTTTGTTTTCTTTAGTTAATCAATGCTTATTATTCTATTGTATGCTACTATATGAATTGTGCGTAGTATATCTAGGATGTTAAGAAATTACCCTCTAGTGATAACACATTGGTCTTATTCGAGTATAGATGGAATGACCAAACCATCTATACATTTAGTAGTATCAATGCTTGATTCTTAGATCATCGATGCTATAGGCCATCAATTATGGCTCAAGAGGTCCATACTTAATCATGTGATATCCTACCCTCATTGTTCTTCATTGATTAGGTGATGGCATAAAGTGAAAGCACGTATTAGCTAGTCAAATTCCTATCATAAGAAGCGTATGCACAGATAGGGAATGATCTTAGTGGAAGGTAATGCATAGAAGAATCTCATTGATGAGTTAGTAACTTAGTATGCATGATCATCTATAATACACTACCTAAGCAATCCTTTTACTTACTTCCTTTCTCGTCTTGCATTAATTTCCATTTACTTACATTAGTTTGAATAGAATTCCACAAAGGGCACCACAACCCACACTATATTTACTTTTCTTTGCATCATCATTGTAATACAAGTTGGTTAGGACATCCTAGGAATTATCACTTGTTTACTACATCAACTCGAGGCCTTTTTTACTCAGGGATGAAGAAAAGAAACTTCCAAAAACTTCTTGATTAGCGGCGGAGGGACAACGATTGGGCCCACCGTTTCTTCTTCTACTCAGATTTACTTTACTCGACTCTTAAGTAAACTCCATGTTGAATTGGAATTCAATTAGGCTTTGTTGAGCCAACGACGATTGGGTACTTCAAGTGGTCGTTGTTATTGGGCCTTCAACTCTCGGTCTCCCTACTAAATTATTTCATCAAAATTTCCTTGATTATATTTTATCCTGAATTGAATAAAATAATACCAAAAAGCGTAAAATAATACAAAACACAATCAAAGTCTAAAATAAGCACATTAATCAAATAGTAAGGAAATTCGTAGAAAATATAATAAAAACCACTAAAGATGCATCGATATAAGGTGGTGAATAAAGTATAGGACCTTGTGAGCATTGCAATTTTAATATTATTATTCATCCAACTGTAGGGTTTGCGTATGACACTTAAGCAAAAATGTTGCTTCCATTTGATGCAAAAGTACATAAAGGCTTCCTTCCTCTCACATCTATTCAAATGCATACATCAAAATAAAATAAACATAATAAAGAGGATCCAAACATATAGTATATATATAGTAAAGGCTAGCGTACGCCTGACGTACACTATAAATCTGCGTTCACACATATTATTTGTACTTTGATAATTTTGACGAATCAGAATTGTTGATTTTCATTTTAAGATTAAACGTATCTTATTTTATGAGTTAGAGAATTGGGTATTGGGGGTTCACCCATTAGAGATTAGGGTATAGCCCCAAACTCCGATTAATTTGCGGGGTAAATATAAAAACTGGACGACTGTACGGTACGTTAAGTGTATGTCTGTCGCACTCTAGTCTGAACTATATATATAACACCAAAAATCGAATGTTACACTGTCAAAAGAACCTCTAGGTTCGTAAACGTACAAAACTAAGAAACTAGTCACTCATGAGTACATGGTGCAAGGAAGATGATGAGACCTCACTCACCCCACATGGCGTTACTCAAGCCCAAATTAGTTATCTACATGGACCATTGGTTAAGAAATGATTTAAGAGTTTAAAGAGAACTTGGAAGCATTTATGGTGGGTGAAAAAGGCTCTACAAGAAAGGTTTACGAATTTGTTAATGTGAAATCGATTGGTATAACATATAATTCTCGTGGTCCAAAAATGAAGGTCTGAGTACAACGATACAAGGATCAAAGAGATCGTTCTTGATGGACATGGATTTTCATAGAGGGAAGCCCATCACATTGCTTCAATTCGTGGATCAAAATCACGAGAAGATGGGCTTGGAAGAAGGAGTAGAAGATTTCGTCCGTAAGGAAGGAATTCCACCATGATGTGAACACAAGGTGTGAAAAGAAGGTGCGAAAGGAATACAAGTGTGAAAGGAATATTAGGTGTGAATACAAGCCACGTGAAGGAGGATTTTAAAGCTAGAATTAATGGTTGAAAAAGTCAAAAATTTTCCCTTTTTGTTTTCCTTTTTCAAGTAGGATTTGTTTATCCTTAGTAGTTTTGGATGTAAATTCGTTGCCTATATAAGGAGGCCAAACTCTTGTATTTTTCATTCAAGTTTTCAGCAATCAAATAGAGTATTTTCAAGTTCAAGTGAACGGTTTTGCTTAATCTCTCCTTTGAGGATTCGGGAGAATTGAGTGGTCTCTTATCATCTAGAGAACGCTTCTAGTTGTGACGAGCATCGACGATATCGGTTGGCTTCATCCACGGGTTTGAGATTTTTTTGGAAGGTTTCATATACCTTCTCGCCCTTCTCACGAGTTCAGATTTGTTTAATTGATTCCACATTTATCTTTAATTTTCGTGTCAATGAAGAAAGAAGAAAATCCCTAAAAAAGTTCGACGTGTGCAACTCTGGTGTTTGGTCCGATTTGGGAGGATTCTCGAATTAGGATCATATTAAGTGGTATCAAGAGCCCGGTTCAAACGCAAGGGAGAAGACAAGGTTTATTGGAAATCTTGAAAGTCAAAAAGGCAAATCTTGGACATTTTTGAAGGTTTCTTGTGCGGCAAGAAGGCGATCTTGGAGAGAGTATTCATGGGAGTCTTCTTGAACAAGAAATCATGGAGGATCAGATTCAAAACTTTGCGACAATGATGGAACAAATGTGTACACAATTGGCGATCATGCTTCAACACCAAACATCAGCCGACGAGAAGATCACGAGAATAGAGAGGCGTGGACAAGAGAAACCTCTACCTCATGATCAAGAGCAGACCCAACCCAATGAAAATGCAAATCCTAGAGATCAATGAGAAGAAAGACGGGTGGGACGACCTGTTCAACGTCCAATGTACGAGCATGTTCGTCGACATAGGCCATTGAGAAGGTTTCGCGGCGCAAGAAGAGACTATCCCTTCTATGATGAGGAAGGATATGCAGAGTACGAGTATGATGGAGGCACTTACTAAGATGATGATGATGATATGCGAGGTTCGAAGATAAAGTGCCTTCGTTTAAAGGAAGAATTTATCCAGAATCATATCTAGATTGGGAACGCAAGATGTAGTTGATCTTTGATAATCAAAACTATTCAGAGAAGAGGAAGGTGGTGATGGCTACTATTGAGTTTACGGATTATGCCCTATGATGGTGGGATCAATTGAGCACAAAGATGAGGAGAGATAGGCACATACTTATTGAAACGTGGAATGAGTTGAAGGTAATAATGAGAGATCGATTTTTTCCAGCCTATCATCAACGAGAGATGCACCAAGCTAAGCATTGCAACTTCTTCGACAAGGCAACAAGATGTCGAGGACTACTTGAAACACCCTAACCCGGCCGGGTACTACTTTTACTAAAATGCCTTTGATAAATAAAATACTCAAATATGAAATTTCAGCGGGAAAGATTTTCACAAATGAAATACTAAAAACACATACTTGTAGTTCAAAGCAAAGCCCTAACATGTGGGCAAATTAACTCAAACCTCAAAATCTCAATCTGATCTCCAGTCTATACTCATAATCATAAATGTAAATAACTGATAATCTCTAATGTTGTTGCTACTGAAACCTTGGCTAAGCATCCTCTGTGACGCTTATACTGCCCTCCTCTAGCTGGCTGCCCTAGAACTTTTCCTCTCAAACTCGCTGCTCTCTAACTGCTCCTCTAGCTAGCTGCTACTAAACTAGTTCTCGCTCATTCCCTTACTAAGGCCTGGTGAGTGAGGTGGGGTCAGTCTACGCCATTACGTTTTAACTTTCTAATAATTTTGCACTTCTTCTCAAACACTTAAACTCAAACTGAGGGAAGTTGTTTGTACTTCCATTCTTAAAAATCTTAACTCTTAAAACTGTATGGGAGTAACTGTTACTCTCCATTCTTAAAACTTAAATCTCAACTTAAATACTTGACTGGCACTGGGATCCCTCATTAGCTAGTCCGGTTGCCAACTCATACGTATGAGAAGCCATCAAGGCTTTCCTTAAACTTAAACTTAGTTAGGGAAGTCGTAACGATTCATTCCCCTAACATCTTAAAGTTATCGTGGTGGCTCTTCACCACGATTCTCAAGGGCATAACTGCTGCCCATCTTAAAAGTCTCAAGAGCATAACTGCTGCTCTGTCTTAAAATCTCAAATGGCAACGGACTGGCACTAGTGACTAAAAACACTTAAAACGACTTCACCTTCTTAAAGGTGAGTTACTTCTTAAAAAGAACTTTCTTCTTAACTTTAACGTTAACATATAAACTTAAAGCTTAAATTTAAATAAGAACTCATGCACATTCACATCAAGCATAGCTCAAACAAAGACACATATCATCAACAATAAGCACAGTCAAACAACGACATTCACTTCATCAAAAATACTCAAGACTTGAAATTCTTGAAAGAACACGTAAGGTGTAGAATTTACCCCCTTTACACTCACCTTTGATATTCAGTTGTACTGACTTGATAATCATTGTCCCCTCATCGAACATAGTTGCCCACTTCTCCCTTATCGGTAAACCCTTCCAATCAGCCTGCCACATGAACTTCTTGTCGTCCAACCACAACCAGCCATGCAAGCCATAAGTTTTACCTAACAAAAATTCCTTGCGCTCTAGCCATGCCACCATTCACATGAAGAGATTAAATAAATAATGCCCATCATATTGTAACCACCACCAGCCGCCAAAACTTGTCCCAACCAATCCGTTCCACACTCAGCACTTGATCAAAGCGATTTTAGTTCCTTCTCTCTCTGTCTCTAGTGTCTTTGATCAAGATGATGACGGCTTCTCTCAAATTACCGCCGTGGGCAGTGGGGCCAGAGGATCTCCCATCGCTGCCAAAATCGAAGGTGTTGGAGATCTTGGATTCTGCTCTCGCCATCGACGCCCTCCATTGGCCCGACGAGCTCTCCGCCCGCCAAACCCACATCCTCCACAACCTGGACAAGGCTTTACAACAACAAGCCTCTACAATCCCCAAGAAGAAGAAGAAGACGATCCAGAACCCTAAGCCGCCATCAAGAAATGGAAACAACAACAACATTACCATCACTGTCGACCTTCGCCGCTCCCCCAGCACAGCAGAGGAAGATGTCGCCGTTTCAAAGCCGCTCGCAGCAGCAGTGAAGGATGATGATGTTAGAAATCGAACAGGAAAAATTAGGGTTATCGATCTGGCTGAGTCGCGGACTAGGTCGCTCTCTTTAAGACGTTCGCGGCACTGCCTTCGTTGCGCACGGCAGACTATCAGCCGGTCGCCTCCAGGATAAAACAGCCACTCTAAATTTGTTGCTCATCGGATTTGTGCGAAAACCGGAGCTCTATGAACTCACTCTCTATATCGTATTTCTGCTCTCTGAGGTATGTTTAGAGGGTCTGGGGCGTCTCCTATTTATAGGAGCAGAAAACCCAGAATATTCCCTCTTTCTTTGGGAATAAGTCACATTTTAATTAGGGAGATAATTACTCCCATAATTAAAATATATTATATTAAGATAATTAATTCTAATTATCTCCATAATATTCTTTTTATTAATTATCCTTCTATTTTCGTATATAGAAAAATACTGGATAATTAATTCAATATAGCTTTCAAAGCTATTCATTCCCAACAATCCCCCACTTGAATAGTTTTGAAACTATCTCTGAGCATCAACAAATCCATAAGATCGGGCATAAACTAAGGTATCGCGAAGATTTGAACCTTAGCGTAGTGGTTACACTTCCGATTTCATAAGGGTGACTCGTAGTCTTGAACCCTATCTCAGACAATGTAGCACACCGGATCTTTTCATTGAGTGATATTCTCTCATAGGCCGTGCGTTTATGGCCATGCACGTTATCCCGGTTTAGTGAACGCTCTAGCAACTTTGTGCCTCCAAAGTTCCATAGGGAGCGGCCCCACTCCCACATTCACATAGGTGAGTCTATCAGAAGTACCCCCAAAGTAAAGTACTTCACTCCACATAGAGTATAGATCTCATTAAGAGTTTTAACTCAACCTCCAAGGCTTTGGGATTCATGCTTCACTATGCATGAACTTTTCTCAATATTACTCATGACTTGTTATTACCCATTGAACCCGTTTCTTGGGATCTCCAGTCTATCGGGTCGGGTTACCATCACTTGTAATCCATGGTTCGGTAGGCATAAGTCTCATACCCTTTGTGGTATTTTGGACTTTCTCTCTAGGTAATCCTTTCGTCAAAGGATCATCTAGATTCTGTTTTGGATCTTATATGATCCACCCTCACTGCTCCTATCGTTAGGAGTTCTCTTACAGTACTGTGCTTACGACGAATTTGTCGTCTCTTTTCGTTCTAGAACCGGTTCCCTTCTATTGCAATAGCTACGGTGCTATCACAATTAAACAACTACCGGAGGGATCGGTCTTTCCCATAAGGGAATCTCTAGTAGTGACCCTCTCAATCAACTTTACTCTTTACTAGCCATTGCTAGTTCTATCATTTCTGATTTCTTAGTTGATTGAGCCAGGATCGTTTACTTCTTAGACTTCCAAGACATAGCTTCTCTATCGATGTTTAAAACACAGCCTCTTGTTGTCTTGAAGTCCTCTATAGGGTATTCTAATCCACATCACTATACCCTACCAATACAGCAAAACCATAGATAACAAATACCAAGGTTTTCCTGTTCTTTTAAGGTGTCTCATGACCCCTTTCAATAGCATTTCAATGCTTCATACTAGGACAATCAGTAAGCCTGCCAAGTACCCCCACTATGTCGGGTCTCATGTTTATCAGCTGCCTCTCGCATACTGTCGATGTTCTTACTTTCTTACACCGTCTTTGGTGCTCTTAAAAATTACACTAGCACCATCAAACATTTATGCAGGTGTAGAACTCGTATTTCCTCTAGATCTAACTGTGTAGTTAAACTGATCTAGATAAAATCTCTTTCATTGTCCTAGTAATCTGGATCTCCGAGCATAACACTTGCTTCATCCAGATCTTTTTACCTTCATAATTCTCAAACAACATGGTTTTTCATAATATTGACATCACGAGTCTTTGTACCAAAGACCGAAGTGTCATAATGCAAGTGTCATTCTCAAAGTTGTACTAAATGCACTTGTCACTTTCACTTTTAAAACCATGAGAGAGAACCAGTTTATTCATGTCATTGTCTTAGAGTCTATTTCAAATCTTACAATGATTTGTCTAACTATAGACTCCCTAAGCATGTTCAAGAATAACAACCCTATAGGTTGTCCCATGTAGATTTTCCTATCTAAATCACCATTCACATAAACATGTTTAACAATCCATCTGACGCACAACACTAGCATTCAGAACATACATGGATGTTATTCTACATATGGTGAATAGATAACAAAAAATTTACAATTTTTCCTTTTCGCTTAAAGCCTTACCTATTAGGCGATCCTTATACTCATAAACTAAACCAATAGGTTTCACTTTTCTTTTAAGAATCCATTTATTACCCATGACTTCATTGCCAAGAGGTAATTCTCAAAAATGCCAAATCTTATTCGATTCTATCGATATATTACCCAAGGCTTTTCAACCAAGAGGTAACTCTACAAGATTTTAAGTCTTATTAGACTAATAATTCCATTTCGTTAATAATGGATTCTCCCACAATTCTGCATCTTTATGGAAGTTCGAACTTCTAGCAGACTTGTAGGATCTTTCTTTCTTAGGGTGTAAATAACAAATTCATAACCAAAAACCTTAAGAGATTTCAGGTTCATTTGCTTCTTCTGAGTTTAAACTTAGATTTATTACCCCCACTAGTTCCATTATTTCTAATAGTAGGCAGGACACTACCCCCACTATTTCTTGATTTAAAATGGAAGTTTCTTGGCATTAATGGATTTCACAACAACATGAGTATTTCGTTTCATAGGAACTATGTGTTTTTATTGCTAACAACATAAAACACACTCATATGCTCTTCTAGTTATCATGTTACACGGATTTTCTAACGCTACCACATGCATGCCACATATCGAATAATCAGTGCAATCATAATGCAATTAGGCATTTCAAACCATTTCAAATAACTAGTCTGACAATCAGAGCACTCTAAAGAGCAATAAATTGTTTATTGTCTTTTCCATCAATTTTACCCATATCAAAATAAATCAGATCTATCGATTCTGATTCTCTAACCACATATTTATGGGTCATTTAGCTTGAATATACAAAATTCATATTTTTCTCAAGCATCCAATAATAATATGGGAATGCAATATAAGATATTCTAATTATTCACAAAGACACACTTGGAAGAATTTATCTTATCAACTTAACCATTCCTTATGTCTAGGAAAGTCAAAGACTTTCTAGAGGTAGGATTCTCTTCCACTTTCCCAGAACCATTAACAATAGTGGTGAGGGTCTTGCCCAACAACACTTTCTCCTTCAATATGCGTCAATGTATGATTGAGCTTAGCTCGTTTATCAGATGCATGCCTTGAGGCGCCAATATCCAACCACCATTCTTCAGAGTTGCCATTAAGGCCTATCACCCCATTAGTGATTTTTACCACCAAATCCTCTTATTTAGTCAATTTAACACTAGGTTAAACTTTTTCTTACACTTTCGTGTCTTATGACCTAGTTTCTCACAAATAACAGAGAAACATAGCGTCATTCTTAGAGGATTGGGTGGCAATCTTATGGTTACCACGATGGGTACCATTCTAATTGGTGTGGATCTGGTTCAGCTTGCTGCTCTCGTTCTTGAAACTTTAATGTTTCACAGCAACCTAAGTGGTTCGTGTAGTACTGATAATAGTACTTCTTATAATATCGTTATTATGGGCAATAAACCCATTCTATTCCCATATATTCTTCACATGTATTCATGCATTTAAACAAAATCGTTATACTTCATAGCATGTATTCAATTTATGCTCTAATCATCGAGATACGTAATATATCTCAATGTCAACTTATCATGCATCAATTCAAGCTTTCATTCTAGCATTCACAAAAAATTTCAATGCCATAAACAAGTCCATATGAAATTGATTCTATAATCATTCATTGATAACTCGTACAAGAGGTTTTAGTTGTTACCTCTTTTGGAGAATTCATAATACTTTGACCTCAAACAGAATAGCTAGCTATATGCATAGCGTCTTTCTTTTTCCGTCCCGCGTCAAAGTTCTTCATGCAACAAAGCAACGCTTCATGGTTGTTCTTCACCATGATCATCCAATTGGTAACCATTATCGCAAAGACATGCACCTCTTTTGCGCACATGTTCCAATAATTTGGGTTGGTCGAGCTGGGCATCTTTGTTAATGGAACGAAATTGGGGAAATTAATTCCCTTCTCGTAATTGGACCGGCGATTCTTGATGTGGTAGTTCCAGTTGTTATCGCCAGAAGCCGCAAATTGAGTGGAGGATATGACCAACAATCGTCCTCCGCTAAGACTCCTTTCTCCTCAGGGTGATTCCACTTTCAACCTGCGTGGATTTAACAACAAAGGAGGGCCTTCTCCAAAGATGAGAGTATCCGAGAATAGAGTTCATACTTAGCAGCACAATTTAATTCTCCAAAAGAATCCAATTAATTTTATTAAGAATCCACAAAGAGATCCTCGCTGTTGTTCCATTCTCTGGCTTCGATTTCTTTTTGCTCTTCCTCTGGACAGGTGGCCTTACGACCCAATACTCCCGTCTGCCTTCCCCGTCGCCATTATATTGTATGGATACCACTCAAGGCGCCGCAGTCTTCGAAATCAAGACAGCACAAGCTGTCGGCACCAGCGGAGGAGCCGAAGCTTAGCAATAGGGCAAGATCTGTCGTCACCCATTCAGCCGGCTCTCTCCTTCGATTGCAACCGCAACTCCAAATATTTATCTCTAGATCACCATGATTATTGTGCCGCCGCTAGGGTTCGGAAGGTCTCTTTTGGAGCAGCTTGGCGATAATAATAGATCAAGCCAGAATCGGTATCGAACCTGTTCGGTACACAAGACAGCAACCAAACGTCTTAAAATTGTTAGAAATCGAACAGGAAAAATTAGGGTTACCGATCTGGCTGAGTCGCGGACTAGGTCGCTCTCTTTAAGACGTTCGCGGCACTGCCTTCGTTGCGCACGGCAGACTATCAGCCGGTCGCCTCCAGGATAAAACAGCCACTCTAAATTTGTTGCTCATCGGATATGTGCGAAAACCGGAGCTCTATGAACTCACTCTCTATATCGTATTTCTGCTCTCTGAGGTATGTTTAGAGGGTCTGGGGCGTCTCCTATTTATAGGAGCAGAAAACCCAGAATATTCCCTCTTTCTTTGGGAATAAGTCACATTTTAATTAGGGAGATAATTACTCCCATAATTAAAATATATTATATTAAGATAATTAATTCTAATTATCTCCATAATATTCTTTTTATTAATTATCCTTCTTTTTTCGTATATAGAAAATATTGGATAATTAATTCAATATAGCTTTCAAAGCTATTCATTCCCAACAGATGATGATGATGCGGCGTCGTACGAGCGGAAGTTGGAGAAAGGATACGCTGCGCGCAAGGAGGCCAGGAAGCGCTCCAAGGACATTCACTTTCACTTGCCCCCCGGACCCACCAACAAGAAGACGAGCCCGACTGCGGCGGTTGCAAAAGCGGGTGAAGAAGCAACTGCAACGGCGACCCGGGCGGTGGCAAAAACGAAGGCCAAACTGAAGCCGCCTCGGTGGTGGGATTATTTTTGCGGGGAAAATTGTTGCTGGGGAAGGGGACCGGTTATTGTAACAACACCCATTGTGTTGTTATTATAACAACACTAGTCCCCAACCAATAGGAAGCTAGGGATGTGATGACTTTTTATTAGTTGAGTTGACCTAGTGTAAAATCAAAACAGGGGTATAATTGTCATTATGAAAAATATGTTTAAATAATAAAAAAATAAAAAAATAAAAAAAATATTTTTTATTTTCTGCCCAAAAATTTGGTCGCCGGAATTCTGCCACCGGTCGCCGGAAAGTGGTCGCCGGTCACCGGAATATGTTTTTTGTCACCGGAATATGCTTTTTGTCGCCGGAATATGCTATTTTGTCGCCGGAATATGCTTACCGGTGTCGGAATATGCTTACCGGCGTCGGAATCTAGTCATCGGGGCCGGAATATGCCTATCGGCGTCGGAATCTGCTCACTGACGGTCACCGGAGTTCGGTCAACGAACTTCGTTGACCGGTCAACGGTCTTCGTTGACCGGGTCAACGGTCAACGGTCTTCGTTGACCGGGTCAACGGTCAACGAAGATCGGATGTATGGTCTACATTGTGAGATTTATGGTTTGGTTTCTCATATTTTCGTATGCCTTTTGTGGTTTGTTTTATCGTGTTTGTGGTTTGCATTAAGAAGTTTCTGGTTTGCTTTATCGTGTTTCTGGTTTGCTTTCAAAAACTTTGTGGTTTGCATTGTGAGGGTTCTGGTTTGTTTTAATATATTTGTGGTTTGCATTAGGACGTTTCCGGTTTGCTTTTTTGTGGTTTAATTTACTGTGTTTGTGGTTTGCATTAGGAGGTTTCTGGTGTGCTTTCGCAAATGTTGTGGTTTGCTTTGTGAGGTTTGTGGTTTGTTTTAGGAGATTTGTGGTCTGCATTAGGAGGATTCTGGTTTGCTTTATTGTGTTTCTGGTTTGCCTTAAGAAGTTTATGGTGTGCTTTCGAAAATTTTATGGTTTGAATTGTGGGGTTTCTGGTTTGTTTTAATATATTTGTGGTATGCATTAGGAGGTTTGTGGTTTGTTTTACCGTGTTTGTGGTTTGCATTATGAGGTTTCTGGTGTGCTTTCGGAATATTTGTGGTATGCTTTGTGGGGTTTTTGGTTTGTTTTAGGAGATCTGTGGTATGGATTGGGAGGTTTCTGGTACGCTTTTTTGTGGTTTTTTTTATCACGTCTGAAGCGAGTATGTCTGCAAATCGACGTGGATTTAAGAGCATGAGTGATTTAAGAGCATCAGTACTTCTGCTTTCTTGGCCATTCTATTAAGCTTCTTTGCATGAGTGATTTAAGAGCATCAGAGGTGGATTTCCAGGACAATCACCATTATTGTTGGCGGTTGGGGTTGAATCGACAATGTTAATAGTGGGAAGTGTCCATCGAGGAAGAGTTAAAGCGTCAGTCTCATCCATCTCTCGGCCGTCTTCCCAATAGCTCACCGGCAGCCTTAACTTCATCTCCAAGTTCAGTCTCCTTCAGATTCTCCACTACGCCCAATCTCT